TATTGCTGGTTAAGTTTGGAGCTGTCTTAGAAAATCTGACGTTGGTGTCTTCATTAAGAAAACCCTGGAATCTTTCATCCTGTTGATTATTGGCTTGCTTTTGTTTTTGTATTTTTTCATGCTCTTCCTCACAGTCACATTATGCTGCCTTCAAAACTCCACCTGTTTAGAGGCCTGCCTCCTCTAGAAAGCCTTCTAGGGTTAAGGAAGGCAGGTATTAGGGAACACATAACAGAAGGATAGGAGCTCTTTTTACAGGGATTACGATTATACTCACTTTCGGGTTCGTTTCTACTGCTAAAACTAGTGTAGAATCTACACTGTAGATGCTAATTCTGCTTTGGGCTGTAGAAGGAAAAGAGAATAGAATGCTAGTCCGCTTGAGCAGAACCCCTGAGGGCATTTGCCTCCTGCCGCTGCCACTCTTGTCTAGAGCACCCGAATGAAACCCGTTGTGTTTTAGTAACGTACGTGTTATAAACAGTTTGTATGTATTACAAATGTTGGATTAATATTACCAAAATAGGCTCCCATACAGAGGCTCTTAATTAAGAATGGAGTAAATTATATACTTCCCAGCACTTTGAACGTATCACCAATTTTCTGATATTGTAGGACCAGTTACAGTGGATCCAGCATGATAATTGAGTTGACAAATTAGAGTTTTATTGGTATCTGTTATAATATCTCTCTCTCTCTCTCTCTCTCTCCTCTCTCTCGCTCTCTCTCTCTCTCTCTCTCTCTCTCTCTCTCTCTCACACACACACACACACACACACACACACACACACACACACACACACACACATATCTATCAGAATCGACTACCTCTGAACACCTAACACCTCCACTACCACCACTCTAGTCCAGGTTACCATCAACTCTTGCCTCAATTATGGCAAAAGATTCCTTGCTAACCTTTGTTTCTGGCTTTTCTCCCCTTCAGTCTGCTCTCAATCTAGTGGTCGGTATGATCCTATTAAAATACAGATCTCATCTCACTGTGCCCAACGTCCTTACCTCCAGGACTCTTTAAGATGCGGCTTCTCATTACTCGTTTGACTTCATCTCTTCTCTTCTCTGTATTCACTCTGGCCTCAAACCTGCCGAACAGCCTTCCTCCTCAGAGCCTGACTCTTTCTGCCTATTCTGATGTCTACATACCTCATACCTCACTCTCTCAGAGTTTTCTTCAAATGCCACCTTTTCGGTAAGGCCTACCTACCCTGACCACTCTACTTAAAATTGCAACATTTTAACTCTTCCTAACTGCTTTCCTTTATTTTACTAACACTTGTTATCCACTAACACACTTTTTGTAATAGCTTTATTGAAATATAATTCACATACCGTACAATTCACCTACTTAAAATATACAATTAATTGATTTTCAGTATATTTAGAGTTGTGCAGTCACCACCACTATCAACTTTAGAACATTTTCATCATCCCAAAAGAAACCCCATAGTCAGTAGCAGTCACTTCCCATTTCCTACCCCTTTACCCCCACTCCAGTCTTAGGTAACCACTAATATACTTTTTTTCCTATAGATTTACCTATTCTGGAGATTTTATATAAATCATATAGTATGTGGTCTTTTGTGACTTGTTTCTTTCACTTAGCAAATTTTCAAAGTTCATGTTGTAGTATGCACGAGTACTTCATTCCGTTTTATGGCCAAGTAATATTCCATTATATGGATTTTTTCCCACATTTTTTTTATTTATTCATCAGTTGATGAACATTTGTGTACAAGTTTTGTGTGGACATATATTTCCAATTCTCTTGGATATATACCTAGTAGTAATTGCTGAGTCATATGGTAACTCTATGTTTACCCATTTAAAGAACTGCCAGACCATTTTCCAAAGCAGCTACACCATCTTACACTCCCAGTTTCTCCATATCCTTGCCAGTACTTGTTATTATCTGCCTTTTTGATTCTAGCCATCCTAGTGGGTATAAAGTGGTATCTCATTGTGATTTTAATTTGTATTTCTCTGATAGCTAATGATACTGGGCATCTTTTTATGTGCTTATTGGTCATTTATATGTCTTCTCTGGAGAAATGTCTGTTCAAATCCTTAGCTCATTTTTAAATTGTGTTATTTGTCTTTTTAATATCAAAAGTTGGATACTAGATCCTAATCAGATAAATGATTTGCAAACATTTTCTCCCATTCTGTGGGTTATCTTTCTCTTTCATGATAGTACCTTTGAAGCACCAAAGTTTTTAATTTTGATGAAATTCAATTTATATATTTTTATGTGGTTGCTTTTGTTTCTGGTGTCATATTTAAGAAACTATTGCTTAATCCAAAATCAAGATTTACATCTATTTTTTTCTGAGTTTTATAGTTTTAGGTCTTAAATTTAGATCCACTTTGATTTTTGTATATGATGTGAAGTAGGGATTCAGTTTCATTCTTTTTCATGTAAATAGCCAGTTGTCCCAGCACCATTTGTTAAAAAGACTATTCTTACTCCCACTGACTTGTCTTTACAACCTTGTCAAAATCAATTAACTATAAATATGGGGATTTCTCTCTGCACTCTCAGATCTATTGCATTCATTGGGATAACTTCTTACACGTTGCTGTCAGAAGTCTCTGAGGCAAATGGTTCCCTTTGAGCTATATTTATCTTGCTTAGACTGTGTTCTTATTAGCTGGGAGCCTTGTAGTAATAGTGGTTTTCTGGAAGACTATTTACTTGGGAAAAGATTTCAAGAAAGATACATTTTAAGGCTTCTAAAATTCTCTGCCTAATCGATGTTTTCTTTGCTTTTGTAGAGTTGTGAAGGTCAAAGTCTGTAATCATGACTTACTTTCTCTGTCTTTATTCATCTTGGCTCTCCTTGTGGCTGTCCATTTTGAATTCCTCTTTTCCCCCTAGGGAGCTCGTCTGTGCCTATATACATTTGCATGGCATAATCTGCAGTTTCAGCACTGCATGGACTTATAATAAAGCCCTGTTCTGATCAAGTATATCTATAGTCAACAAGCATTCTGGCGTATGGCCTGAATGTAATGGGTCCAGCTGGCTGTCTTCTTGTGGCTTAAATACCATGTTGGACCACACAGGTACCTTTTTATCCCAGGCTGCTAATCTTAGAAGTTCAATTTCCAGTCTTAGAAGTTGGAAACTCTTTTGGTAGAACAGGAAAGTGGAAAATTAATTCTTATTGATGCAATATGAAGATTGCCAGGAATAACTAGAGTATATATAATTCAGTTTTTCTGCTTTTCCCAGTCAGTACACCCAGTAGTAGTAAACCTCTCTCCAGGCATGTATCCTCTTAAACTCCTAGAACACAGATTTAACCTAATCATTATTCAGATGTCTGTGGTATATAGATATTAATCCATATAATCACTCTCAAAATCCCACTTTCCTATTGGTATAAGTTATTATTTTACAAGACACATTTCAGTTGGATAATAAGCACATAGTTTCTACAGAATTATAAAATAGAATAATCACTTATCCTGTGCTTGTCGTGGTGGCCATTAATTCAACAAATATTCATGTATCATCAGTGCACTAGGACACATGCGAGGTGTTATCTCCATCAGTATATCGATTACCCTCGGCACAGTTGTTTGGCCAAGCATTTATATGTGAAATCACTTACCTTTGTGATTGCCTTATGGCCTTCTTCCAGGTTTTTCTCCCTCCGGCTTAGTACATAATTGGATTTAGTTAGCCAAACATACTAATAATCAGATACTTACTCATCTGTGTAGTCAGTAAATGGTGATTGAAAGCCTCCTGATATGCCATGCACTGTGATCGTTGCTGGTGACAAAAAGGTGAGGACAAATGGCCTCAGTCTCTGTAGACCAGGCATTATCTAATGATGTTGCTTATACCTCTATAATGCATAAACATATCGTTCTTACATAACGCATGGTACTATGAGAACATGTGATAGTCATCCATTCATTAAAACAAACAAAACTAATTTAGGTGCTTCCTATGTGCTGAAGGTGTTTGATGTGAAGGTCAAGGGCAGCTTCTGTAAGGAAGCAACAGTTAAACTGAGACCTTAGAGAGGAGTCAGCTTGCCTAAGGGGCAGTGGAAAAACCATCCAGACTATGAGAAGAGCATGTGCCAGAGGAACTGAAAGGCTAGTGTGACAAGAAGCCAAGATGGGTATGAGACAAGACTGAGGCGGAACCAAGCACTTTAAGACCTTGCGGGCCGTTTTGAGCATTTGCCCTCTGTCCTAAGAGCAGAAGAAAGCCATTAAAATGTTTGAACCAAAGCCACTTTTTATAGAGCCCATGAACTAGGTCTTAGATAGCTTTGCTCTTCTATTTGTTAATTTCTAGATAGAAAATGTTAAAAATTTAAAATTTTGTCATATTCAAAGTAGTGATTCTCTAACTTTAGTGTGTTTAAGAATTTTCTGGAGGACTTGTTAAAACAAATTTTGGGTCCCCACTCCCAGAGATTCTGCAAGTCTGGCTAGTGTTCAAGAATTGGAATTTCTAATAAGTTCCCAGAAGATGCTGATACTGTTGGTCCTGCCATGGACGAGATTTTGAGTTGCAGTTAATTAGAACCAGAGAATGAACTCACCTCTCCTTTTCATTTTTGTTGTTTTCCTGGTGTATAACCAGCAGAGGATCATTTTTAGTCATATAATAACTAAAAGATATTTTTTCTTTGTTTTGGGAACTATATTTTATAGAAGGCATTTAAAGACTATAAATTATACTTCAATGTGTAACTTCTATATATATGATATGTGACTCTCTGAGATGATATGGTAAGTAACTAGCACTTGGGGAGACATAGCCCAGAAATCAAGGTACTTAAAAATCAGGAAGAGAATCGTGGTTAACAAAAATTTGTAAAAAGTTATTATTAGAACTACCTTGACAGCTTTTAAGATTTTGAAATTTAGAGCAATATGGTTTGGGATTTGGAAATAGTGTTTCAGAAATAGTAAACATGTATTATTGAATCCATGTTTTATTTTCGTTTTTCTAGACTTAATTACTTGTTTAGACACTACATCCAGTTTTTTGGAACCTGAGTTCAGGTATGGCCTTATTTTGTGCCTTTTTTCCTTAAAGTTACTCTTCATATACTTCATTCTCGTTCTTTATACACTTAAGATTAACATACATGTTCTGACACATAGTTATTATTCTAAGATATCAAAAAGAGCTTATTTAAAGCTGTTGAGTTGTCATGTTTAAATTTTGCTTTAATTGTAGCATTTGGATCTTCTCCACAATGAAAATGTAATTTTTCATATACTTTAAAAGTAGAATTAGTTACTCTTCAAATCTGGCAAACTGCTAATAATGATACAAGAGCTATTTATCTTTTTTTAAAAAAGAAAATGATTTAGGCTGTTATGGAATTCTTTGGTATTCTTACCCAAATGGCATTTCTACTACTACTTTCCTGCTTTATGCCCTTGTCTCTTGCCTAGTCTAGAATGAACTTCTAATCGATTTGCCATTTCTAACCTTTACTGGCTTTATTCTGCCGTTCACATTGCTACCAAGTTATTGTTTAAAAGACGTATCTCATCATTCCCCTGCTTAAAAATCTTCAGAAGCTCCCAATTAAGACAAAAAGTCATCCAGATTCCTTAGCCTGGTTTTCAGGATCCTGTCCCAGCTCCTAGGGCCATTTATCCAGTCTCATCTATACAGATATTGAAACGGCTCTGCATTATTTATTGTGCTCTGAGGTCATAACTTTCACCTGGAATCACTTGATTCCTCTCTACTTGGCAAAATCATTCTCATCTTCTAAGACCACGTCACTAACCTCCCCACAACTTGCCACCTCTCCCCAAAGAACCTTCATTTTGTCTTCAAGAATGATTTTCTCTATATGGGATGGGTGCACTCTTCAGCACTCATGGCAGATGAGATCCTGGTCAGTAGAGGTAACCCTGGCATCACTGTACGGCACACAGCCCTGCAAAGGGTCTGCTGTCTTGTGCCCTTTACTCTAGCTCCCTTGTCACCGCCCATGTGCAAGCTGCCATCATCTCTCGCCTAGAATACTGCACTATCTGCCTAACACTGTCCCAGGAGCCACAGTACTCTTTTAACTATGAATCAGATTATGTATATATGCTGTCAAAATCCTTTATTGACTTTCTATTTTAACTAGGAAATTTAGTCCAGTTTCCTCACCATAGCCCGCAAGGCCTCTGCATGAGCTGGCTCCTGCCCACCTCTTCAACCTTCTCTCAAACTAACCTTACCTTTGTTCACTGCCCTCTACCTGCACTGGTTGTCCTCGGTTCCAGACATGCACAGGCCTTCCTGCTTCATGGGCGTACTGTTCTTTCCAACTGCGGTGAATTTCCCTCCACTTGCTCCTGTGACAACCGTTAGTCTCTGCTAACGGTTCACTCCTCAGCCCCATTCCCTGACCAAGGTAGTATAGAGCCCTGCATGTGAGCACAGGCTCTGGAGCGCATCTGCCACTCACCAGCTGTGTGACCTAGGCACACAGTTCCTCAGTTTCCTCATCTGTAAAATGAGGATAATACAATAATAGCACCTACCACATCACGTTCTTATGTGGATTACCTGAAACATTTAGAATGCTACCTGGCACATAGTAAGTTTACTGAATGTATGTATTACTTTTATTAAGTTAGATTCCTCCCAGTTACCTCATAGAGTCCCTTTTCTTCCTAGTACACCATAATCAAATTAATTATTTGCGTATCAGTTTAATGTCTTCCCCCACCACTGTATAGTAAACTCATTGAGGACGGGGGCCATGTTTGTTTGGCTAACCTTTGTGAATCTAATATCTAGCACCGCCCAGCACTTAACAGACAACATAATAGACATTCGCATCAATGTGTTGAGTGAGTAGGTCGGTGGGTGAATGAGTGAATAAAAAAATGAATGAATGCCAAAAAGTAAAATAAATTATGGTTTATCCACAAAATAGAATATCATGTAGCTATTAAATATAAATAGATCCTGTAGTAGAAATGTGTTTATATTCATTATGAAGTAAAATAATCAAAGCAGTATGTGAGATATGAGACAATTTTTATAAATTTGTGAGTGAAGACGTGTGGATGGATAGAAGTGCTAGTTCTCTTGGGCTGGTGAGATTATGGTATTTACATTGAACTGAAAAATGGATATGTGATGGGTTTTTGTTTTTTTCCCCAAAAAAGTATAGTGCTAAATGCCCTTTAACTTGTTTTTATTTCACAGTAAGTACTGCCCAGCTGGTTGTCTGCTTCCTTTTGCTGAGATATCTGGAACAATCCCTCATGGATATAGAGATGTAAGTTAGATATAGACTTGTGTTAAATTTGTGATAGGACTTTATTTTTTATAAACTTTAGAATGAGTAACTGTGTGCCTATCTTTATTTTGATTTTTTCCCCTAGGAGTTATTCCTTTTTAGTAATATGTTACGTTTTATTATTTTTCTTGTAAAAATTTGTTCTGTGTTATGGCATCAATAATCTATTCCATGTTGATTGATTATACTGCCCAGATCAATTAATTTACTGAAGACATGTAAGTGTCTTATTTATGAATTACCAAAAGAAAATAAAATTAATCTTTTCTTTTTCCCTTCCTCAAGTCCTCACCATTGTGCATGGCTGGTGTGCATGCAGGAGTTGTGTCAAACACTTTAGGTGGCCAAATCAGTGTTGTAATTAGTAAAGGTATCCCGTACTATGAAAGTTCTTTGGCTAACAACGTCACATCTGTAGTGTAAGTATATATGCAATTTATAATAAGCATGCTGGACAGGGATGAAATAGAGACTCACACTTCAGTAATATCACAGTTAATGGTGTTAATGAAAAACCATTTGTGTGGTAAGCACTCACATTTGTGTGTGCTCCATGCCTGAATGTATTGAAGAGTACAGACAAGGTCATATACCTTGGCTTGTTCTTTATCAAAAGGTAGTCATTTGAAAGCATGATTTTTTGTTTCCTGTTTTTTAAGTGTTGAAAATACCTGGAGTAGGAGTCTAGAGGTTTGTTGTCAAATCCCTACTTCTCTTAAAGATCTGAAGGCATAACTACTCTGTTCCTTATGTGACTCAAAATGAATTGAGGATAATTGAAATACTTTGAATGTAAATTAAATTTGAACATAAATCAAAGGTAGTATTATTATGAATCTCCTCTCATCCCAAGGGAATATTTTCAGAATGTATTTTCGTGGTATCTGTGATATTCTATTGTTTTACAAAATTTAGACTAGGTATCAAAAGCGGAAGTCGAAACATTAAATAGAAATGCAGTACTCCTGCCCTGTTTTTATAAATCTTGCCTTTTAGATATGTACAGGCCTACAGACAGTACGAAGCCTAATTGAAACCGACTATAGAGGTCCTGGGCCAGTTTTCATTCAGAAGACAGGAGCATGATCTATGCCCAGGGTACTTGAAAGCAGGGGTCAGCAAACTTTTTTTGTAAATGACCTGCTAGCAAATATTTTAGGCCTTTATGGGCCATATGTCTCTGTCACTTATCTTTTTTCATTTTATTTACAGCTCTTTAACTATATAAAAACCATTTTTGGCTCACTGGCCGTACAAAACAGGCCGTACATGGGCTGTCATTTGCCCATCGCCAATATAGAGTCAACTACTTTTTCTTCTTTTGCTTTCTTCTAGATGCTTTTATGCAGATCCTTTTATTCATTTTCCCTGTTCTACCTTTAGAAAGATTTTTTCTCCTTGAATTTTCTCTTTTATACTTTAAAAAAAATAAGGACAGGTTGCATCCACTTGTAATGTTTTGAATATCGTGCTGAAGGCAGGAGCATACACTAATGGTTTTATCCCTCCAAGTTTCTTAGAGGCTTTTGACCTGTCTTATGGTGACCTAGTCACTTGTCCCACCCTTCCATTCTCCCAGGGCAGCTCTTCTGTCCTATTACTTTGAAATCCAAATGCAGTGGTGCGTTGTAACACTGAAACTTGTTCTTCATAGACATGTTGATGTCCTGTAACAAATGTAGTCTCTTAATAGCAGCCAGCTTTTCTTCTGTTTACCCCAGGGAATTGGAGCCTCCTTGTCTGAGCATTACACCTTTCATTGTACCTTCACCAGAAGTAATTGCTACTGAAAAGTTTTAGGAGTCAATTTATTTCATGAAAAAAATAAAATAAGTATATATGCAAGGTTATGTGGATACATGTGCATAATCATGTATGAAACTAGGAACTAGATACTTGTAGAGAAAGTTGTTTATGCTAATTTCAGAAGTTCTGCTTAGAAATGAGACTTTTTTTGCTAGGAACAGTATCAGTTGTCTAATATGTAGCCAGAGAATATTCTTAGTTCTTTATACAGTAAAATAAAAACAAAAAACGTTTAAGACAAATATGGGAAAGTCATGTGTTATGTGAGTGTCACCAAAAATACCTTTCTTTTTCAGGGGACACTTATCTACAAGTCTTTTTACATTTAAAACAAGTGGTAAGCCTTTCATGGACTTCATTAACTTATAATTTGTATAGTAGCTTAAATTTTTTGAACACTGTTAGGAATTGTGCCCTTTTTTTGCACTTTCTCATTTAGTTGTCACAATAATACTATGAAGTACAATGGGTATTTAATATAATGAGTGAAATAAACTGAAGGTTATTAATAGGGAAATCGTGTAAGCTAGGAAAGCTTCTTAGAAAGGTGATTTTTAGAACTTGTCTAAAGAAGTAATTAATTCATTTGACTGAAAATATTTATCGAGTGCCTTCTTTTGTTTGTCAGATACTATTCTGGTGCTAGGAAAACAACGGTGAGCAGAATAAAGAAAATTCTGCTTTCCTAGAGCTTACATTCTGGCAGTGAGAGATTGACAGTATACAGTGAATAAGTCAATTATTTACAATGTATTGTTTATAATAATACAAAGGAAAGACTGGTGGAGTCAGGACAGGCCTCGTGGAGAATGTGATATCTAAGCAAACACTTGAAGGAAGGAACTAAGGGCATGAGTCACCCTCTGACCAGGGAGTGTGTCTAGGGAGAGGGTAATGTATCTCCATTAAACTAATTATTATTTCTTGTGAATAAATATGTATATTTCCTGATAAGACACAAAGACATAGATCTAAGAAATACTTGCCTAGTTTTGAAATTTCTCTATTATAATGTGTTAATAGCATAGTGTACGTTAATTAAACGTACAATAGAAAGTTTTCAGTGAGCAAGTTTATGTAGATTTTGAATTTATATCTGGAAACCAAGTTTCTTTCTGTTTTGTTTTAGGTTGTTATGGAACACTGGGGATGGAATCTGGCGTGATTGCCGATCCTCAAATAACAGCATCATCTGTGCTGGAGTGGACAGACCACACAGGGCAAGAAAACAGCTGGAAACCTGAGAAGGCCAGGCTGAAGAAACTGGGACCTCCTTGGGCTGCTTTTGCCACTGATGAATATCAGTGGTTACAAATAGATCTGAACAAGGAGAAGAAGATAACAGGTTAAGAGACATGATTTTCTAGAGCAATTTGTAATATTGATTTTATCTGGAAACCTGGTGACATCTAAGGTTTTTATAGAAAATTAAGTCACTGTAAATTTAATTATGTGGTTTTAAGTTTTCTTTGCTGGTGTTAATACTACTGAAGATGGTTTTATAAAAACATGACAGGAGAGGACTTGATTCTTATTAGCTTTTCTATTTCATTGTAGTAAGATTCTTTTAAGGTAGTGTTTCAGTAAAGTGATCTTGAAATGTCTGAAATAACCATCCCTTATAGTCATTAAGAGAAATTTATGTTCAAGGCATCCACATTAAGTGCTATAAATAACATTCCACATGTGCTGAATATAAATTTAACTATTTAGATCAACTTGGCAAATGGTCAGAACGATTGGTTGGGATTGGTTTTGTTAAGGATTTATTTTGCTTTGGCACTGAAAATAATACCCATAATTATCTTCAATCTGTTTCCCAGGAATTCATTCTTACTTGGTAGACGAAATATATTTTACAACGATATGAGCACAAGCTGCTAAAATATAAAATACAGTGGTCCTTTCCTTATGTCTGGGCATAATTCTTCTTGTCTCTACAAGGGAACAAAGCCAAGGATTTAGTCACTATTATAATGAAACCTTGCACTCTTAGATATAGTAATGTGTTATATGCAAAAAGGTTTGAGCAGTGCATCTTAGTTGCTTATGTTCGAATGGTGAACAGACTTTAAGGATCAGACTGTGCACTAATGAAAGCACCTCTCCATTCCCTAGGCATTATAACCACTGGCTCTACCTTGGTGGAACATAATTACTATGTGTCAGCCTACAGAATTCTATACAGTGATGATGGGCAGAGATGGACCGTGTACAGAGAGCCTGGTGTGGAGCAGGATAAGGTAAAAAGATTAACAAGGTATTTTTTTAAAACAGTTTTTTAAATGGGCCTTTGCCAAAAGTCACAGAAGCTCTCCTATATGATATAAAAGTTAGTATCATTGGGTCTTATTCTGCCCTCTTCTGGTTATTTTAGGTAGTTTTAGTTATTGGCCTTAACCGTCTAACCATGGTTAGAAAATTCCCAGTGATTCTAGGTCCCTTTTGATGATTTTTTTTTTCCCCACTACATTTTTAAGTGATTTTTTTCACCACATTTTTAACTCAATTTTTTTAGATGCTATATTAAGAAATTCTAAAAAGGAACTTACAATTTCTTGTCTTTAAAAAGCTTTTCTTATCAATCCACAGAATGATGGAGAACCTAATTTGTTCCCAGTTTTCTATGCTGTAGGAAAGGGCTAAAAGCAAAAGTGCATTAAATTGTAGGATATTATAGACTTAAAAGATGATTGCAAGATCACCTCACCAACTTAGAAAACTTCAATATTTTTCTACCTAAAGAATTTCCTTAACTTCTGTGGTCATTATGAAATTGTTGTTTTAGCTAGCAAAACATGACAGTGCTGAAATGTGCCAGATCAGATAATAAGGGTTTGAGAGTAGGCAACGGTGACACTCATCTAGATGTTTATCACTTTCACCTGGGTTCTTGGGCCTTGATCCACCACAAGGATCTCGTAACTAGGAGAGTCCCCATCTCCAATGAAGGTAGATTCCTTTCATGTAGAATCGAAATTATGGGCACATATTTTTAATAAAACTTCTCCATGAGTTTTGGTTCAATTGTATGATACTATCAGTTCTCTATCATGTATAAGATTTGCTAATATATCTTCAATTGCTACTTTTCTCATCTCTCTGTTCAAAAAACTGCAGGGGCTCCTTATAATCTTTCATATGGATCTAAACTCTTCTGCTGTTATTCAAGGTCTTCTTTCCTCTCTTCTACTTGGTATCACATGAACTTCATCTTTGGTGAGCCTCTACCCATTGAAGCAAATAACAGTATTGTTTCCATATATATCTTCTCCTTAATGCCCCCAGACTTGACTAACTTTTTACATTTAGCACATTCATATGTATTTATATAATATTTATTATATTTATGGACTATAGTTAATTTTTTGAAATTATGAGAATTATCCATGTATATATTATAAAAACATCTAACATCAAATTATTTTCTGAAAAAGACTTGTTTGTTTAATTTGAAATATAATCTCACTGGGTTTAGAATTCTAGGTTGACAGTTCTTTATTTCAATACTTTAAATATGCTTGTTGGTACATTGTTTTCTGGTTTGCACTGTTTTCAGTGAGAATTCTATCATTCTTACTGTTTTTCCTCAGTATGTAATGTCTTTTTTTTCCCTTGGCTACTTTCAAGATTTTCTTTTTATCATTTGTTTTAAGCAATTTGATTATAATATGCTTTGTGTAGTATTCTTCATGTTTCTTCTGCTTGGGCTATTTTGAGCTTCTTGGATCTGTGGGTTACAGTCTGCATCAAATTTGAAAAATTGTAGGCCATTTTTTTCTTCAAATACATCACCTCCTCAGTTCTAATTACATGAATATTATGACTCTTGAAGATGTCTCACGGTTCACTGATGCTCTGTTCATTTTTTTTTAAATCTTCCTTTCTGTTCTTATTTGGAAATTTTCTATTGTTTTGTCTTCAAGTTCACTAATCTTCTACATTATCTAATCTGCTATATTACTCCTATCCAGTATATTTTTATCTCCAGTATTGTATTTTTCTCCTCTAGATCTTCAGTTTTAGACTTGTAAAATTTCTTTCATGTCTTTCCGTAACATGCTCATGCTTTTGTTTACCTCTGTATCATATGGAGTATATAGTAACGCTTTTAATGCCCTTATCTAGTAATTCTATGTACTAAAGTGTCATATCTGGATTATTTTATATTGATTGATATGGGCCATATTTTACATGTCTGGTAATTTTTTATTGGTTGCCAGACATTGTTTTTTGCTGGATTTCAGTTTTTATTATTATTCTTTTAAACGTTTTTGAGCCTCATTCTGGGACATATGTTACTTGGAAATCATTATCTTTTCAGGGATTGCATTTTAGTTTTCTTAGGCAAGACCTGAGCAGCCTTTTGTGCTAATTTTTCCTCAGTACTGAGACAAAATTGTTCTAAGTCCTCAACCCAACATCCCATGTGTTATGAAGTTTCTCCATTCTAGCTGTTGGCAATGTGAGCTGTTCTCAGCTCTGTGTAGCTCTGAGAATTATTCTCCTGGCTCCTTTCCCCATCTATTGATAGTTTCTTTACATGCAGGTGAAGATTTAAGGGGAAACTCCCTACAGACCCTAGATGTCTCTCTGTAGTTCTCTTCACTCCTATACCCTACAAATTCTAGCTGCCTTGGCCTCTCTATCTCTGAGCTCTATCTCCTCAATTCAGTGAGATTACCAGACTCTCTCCAGGCAATATTGGGACAATAGAAGGGCTCACCTCATTTGTTTCCTTTTTTTCAGGAATTATTGCCCTATGCTGTCCAGTGTCTGGAAAACCATTGTTTCATATATTTTATCTGATTTTTCAAATATTTAAGGCAGAAGGGTAAATCCAGACCGTGTTAGTTTATCATAGATAGAAGTCGAAGTCATTGCATTGAATGATATGAAATAACAATCTTTTACCTCTCTTAAGTTTGTCCATCTGCTCCCTCATCTACCCGCAACTCAAGTATAATTGATGTGTTCATTTTCACACATTCTCCAAGTATGCAAGAGCATACAAATACACATGGAGACAGCTTTTGGTTTTGTTTTCAGAAAATGGGAATATATATACAACTTGTTTTCATAATCTATTACTTTTAATAGTATGCCATGTTTGTATTTGGTAACATCAATAAAATTTAAGTTCCTTGAGAGTGGAAACTTTGATTTCCATTTTCCTGTCACGACACCTTGCAAACCTCCATATACCTAGGGATTCATAATAAATGCACGTAGGTTAAATATAGCAAATCTTTTTTACTTAGTTTTATCAAACCTTCCTCCGTTAAGTTTTTATAAAAACAAAGCAGCAGGATGGAGTAAGATCTCAGGGATAGTTTTTATGTCCTAAATGGTTTTTTATTATTATTCCTATTCCTCTAATATAATAGACTAAATAATTGCTTTTACTTTATTTCAGCATAATATCCGAGGAAATAATGGAAGCTTACTAGTGTGGAAACTACTGTAACTCCAAATAAACCTCTTAGAAAATGAAGGATATTAACATGTCTTGGAAGTTTATAGTCTAATTGCATATGAATCAGCCAAGAAGAAAATAGCTATAGTAGTTGAGATAGTCACTTGAAATCATTTGGAAATGACTTGATGGAGAAAGTAAACGTTTACTTGCTCTCACCTTAACTGATAAAAAATAAACCACTTTGATTTTAGGTAGGTGTTCATTTATTATAGAAACTACCTAGGTGGTTTGGCCTGAGAGAACAAAGAGAGGGCTTTTTTTTTTGCTTAGCGGAGCCCTATGCATAGGTCAGAAGACACAGATTTAAATCAGTGCTCTATCTTTGGCTATGCCACCCACTTATATTCTATAAGCTTCAGTTTTCTGAGTTCTGCATATTTTATAGGGTTTATCATGACGAGCATCTGAATTAATTATATGAAAATGCTTTGTAAATAATTAAGAGCTGTTCCAGTTTAAGGTACTATCATATTTGCTTGAAATAGTTGAAGGAATGAGATAGTCACTTGAAATCATATTTTTACATAAGTATTATTCATATAATGCATTTGTTGCTGTTTAGTTGTGATCATTAAATTAAGCAGGGAACAGTGTCACTTTTCTGGTTTGAAAAGCAACAAGAAAACAAAACAGAATGTGGGAACTGTATTTATATAGTTTATCCAGTAGGTGGAGATATATATCTGTTATGTTTTAGTACATGTTCACTTTCAGTCTATTTTCTGAGAAAAAAATTATGAAAAGTACACAGTAAAGCATTTCCTGTAAGATCTCATGTTCAATTATGCTTTACTTTGAAAATAAAATTAATATATTTAAATATTGGTAATTCCATGGAACGAGAGTTGCTCATTTATTCATACACTATACTGTCTCATTGCAAATGAAACTTTCTTTCCAAATTGCCAAGTTAACATTCTTGTTGTGTTTATATCATCTTAAAATCACTTATATATTCCATATTTTCCTTTTATAAATTTCTTAATGAAGAATGTGCAGCGTCTTAATAGTTTTCCAAATTGTGATTTATTTTCTTAAAAATTAATTCTTATCGTCATACTTTGCAGATCTCATTTAAGGCCCAGAGCAAAAAAACAAAAACATGTTTCAGTGGAGCAATTTAGCCCTGGCCTCTGTTGATGTAAAGTACCAATTTTTTGTTGTTTTTTAAAGATATTTCAAGGAAACAAAGATTATCACCAGGATGTGCGTAATAACTTTTTGCCACCAATTATTGCACGTTTTATTAGAGTGAATCCTACCCAATGGCAGCACAAAATTGCAATGAAAGTGGAACTGCTTGGATGTCAGTTTATTCCTAAAGGTAAAGCAATAGTTTGTGTAAGACATGTTTTTTCACTGGACTAATTAAAAATGCAAGGTGCTGTTCTCAGAGAAAGTAATTAATAATAACATGAATGTTTAACCTCTAATTACAGTGTCTTCTTAAAGGATTTTTTAAAAAGAAATTGTTACTTTAAAAAGAAATTTAACTTTTATTAAAAAGTTAGAAATAGAATAGTCCCCAAAATTACAAATAGAAGAGAGAGCTTCATGAGATGATGTAATGAGATCACTTTCCAAATCTAGTCTCAATCTTAGTAATTTTTAATCAGGTCTCGTGTAATATAATATTTGTATCACATAAGCACTGATGATTATAATAGTAACTTCAGTCTAAGTGACTTTGGCTTTGAATAACATGAAAATGGAAATAACTTCTTCAATATTGTATAATATTTTAATACTTTATTATTGTATCTTTAAGAACTACCACAGTATCTGACGCATAGTGGGGCTTCTATAAATATATATTAAATGGTCTGCAGCCACGCTACCCTGAACAAACCCAATCCCGTCTGATCTTGGAAGCTAAGCAGGGTCGGGCCTGGTTAGTACTTAGATGGGAGACCACCTAGGAAGACCAGGTGCTATAGCGTAAAAAATTAAAAAAAAAAAGAGGGGGGAGGAGTATTGTAAGCTGACAAGGCCCTTGCAGTCTGTGAGGTCAACCAAGGGTTGCCTCACCTGAAAAAATATATATATATTTATTAAATGGATTGATGAGTAGTATATCAAATTTTGATGACACTTTTGTAACTTTAGAGTTCAATATATCTGCCTCCCCATTACTCTCCTTCCTGATTCCTTTCAATGTAACTATTTAAAAACTGAGAAATCTTAGTATATTTGTGCATTTAATGCAGAGTATATTTATCCTACTGATGTATTTCTCTCTGAGATTTAAAATTACTGTGCAGAATTCAATATTCTAGGAAATGTTAAAGATGTTTAAATGTTTAAAATTACCATTTTTAACTGGTTTTTATAAGCAAAATGTGTAAACTTTTCTAAACCATTTTTCAAGGTCGTCCTCCCAAACTTACTCAACCTCCACCACCTCGGAACAGCAATGACCTCAAAAACACTACAGCCCCTCCAAAAATAGCCAAAGGTATGCCTCCTTTAAATGTGAGAGTTTGATTTTCCCTAGATTTGTGGTGTAATTTTCCATAAATATGTTAAAAGTATTCTAAAGTAACTTTATTTTAATCATGTACCTGAAAGAATAAAGAGTTTTTTAAACTGTTTTCAAGGTCGTGCCCCAAAATTTACTCAACCACTACAACCTCGCAGTAGCAATGAATTTCCTGCACATACAGAGCAAACAACTGCCACTCCTGATATCAAAAACACTACTGTAACTCCAAGTGTAACCAAAGGTAGGCAAACCCAAACATTCACACCTGTTTTGTGGTAGTGTCTTATTTTGTTTTCAACTTAAGTTTTCAGGAACATATGTAGCTTTTAAATCCTCAGTTTCTTTTCCTTTAACTTATGTTTTTCTAAGTATAGCAGAAAATCTGATTTTCTTTCTTAGGAAACAAACTGACTGCGTTGTATTAAGTTCTGTTCTCTGGTGCCAGGTAGAATTCTTTAAATATTTAGAAATCGCTGCTGTATTCTAGGCCTCCTCTTGTGACTTGTTTCTGTACAGTTAAACATGTGGAGTCTCATGCCTAGAAATATTTTTAGGAATAACTAAAACCATAGCAAGAAACAAACCTTTTTTTCTTGATGATATATTAATTTGCTGAATAGCGAACTTGGTGGGGAAAAGGAAAAAAAAACAAGTTTTAGTGAAAATACTTTTTAAAAAATTCTCTGAATTAATGTAGTTGTAAAAAAACTTTAGTCTCTTTAAAAATGTTTATGATTGTTAAGTTTTCAGATTATAAGTGCATTAGTAGAATTTACTTTCAAATTTTGTTACTAGTGATAAGTAAGGTATTAACATATACAAAACATAGTTCCTTGATTTTTTAGTTGGGGAAATTATTTTTTTAATACAGGCAAAAAAGCATCAGTGTTCAAGAGGAATTAGTTTCAGTGTTGGCAAATGAATACAGCACACTCGTTTTCAAGACAGCACAGAGAAAACAATTCATTCACAGTAACTTATGGCACACAGAACTTTAATCATTCTCATTTTCTGAAAATTTGCCAGGATTCAGATAACTTCTTTCAACTTTACATGTGTCAATTTTTTTCCTATCTTCTAAAGTATTTCCAAACAGACTAGTTTCTTTCTTGTGATACAGGAAAATCCAGAGAGAAGCAAGAGTTCTCAGAGCCAAGAGATCTTAGTGTCCATAGAGAGCTGCTTACCACTTTGCAGAATGCATGTGTTTGGGCAGAATCCCAGTAGTGTGCCTAGATGGAAGAACAGTCATTTAAAAGTATCACTCATCTTAAAACCTGGTCATAGAATCTTAAAATCTCAAAACTAAAAGTGTCCTTAAAGCATTTTCTTCCAGAACCTATAAGCTTAAAAAGAATAGCAAAGACCGTACAAGTCTTTTTAATTGAAGAACTCTTGTCTTCTTTTCTCTGGGACAGTGATATATTGACTTTTTATTATTTTTCAAACCTAAGCAGATGTTTTAAAACTCCTGCAATCACACCGTATCCACCTGAACCCAATTGTTTTCTCTGCTTTCACATATTTTAGGGATAAAAAAAGCACATTTACTTTTCTGAATTCTTAGTGCTTTCTAGCCTGAGTCATGACTTCTGTTTTATGCACTTCTCCTTTCTCCATTTTATGTCTGGGCTGAAGTGATGCTGAGAAAAGTATGTCATGGTCAGATTTGTATCACTGTAACTTCCAGTTCCTCCCTCAGCAGGGCCTCAGCACCAGCTGGTATCCTGTTTCCCTGGTTGGCTCTTCTGTCTGTTCTCAATAGTGGCTTCAGCGTATTTTTCAAACCCTTGACCCGGAGATCTTCACTTACTCCCAGTTACCTCTTTAACTTCACAAAAAAAGTAGAAGCCATTAGAAGGAAACTCCCTTTTCATGGAATCTCACCTGCACCCTCTGTCCACTGCAATAAAAAAAGGGGGTTCCTTGTACTGCCCATAATCGATCACTTCACCTGAGCTCTAGTTCCCATCCATCCAGCTTCTCAGAGACCTCATGTTATTGCTTATTCTCTCCCTCCCCTGTATTGTCATCCTCTTTCTCTCTTTTGGATACAATTGTAAAGAGCAAATCATATGCTGTGGATCAGGTCTGACACAGTGTGTGGCACTTAACCCCCAGTAGATTCAGCAGTTGCTGCTATTATCCTCATGGCTAGGAGAGGGTTGACAGATGAAGGAAGAAACTAAAGTCCCAGATGCCCTTAGACAGAGCATTTTCCGTATCTGGGCCCAGGATTCTTTATTTGCAGAGTGAGATAAGGGGATCAAATGACCTCCTTCTCCCTGCAGGCTCCAGCATTGCACCAGTTTTTGCCATGTTGATACACAAAATGGCTTTCTATATTTAACACTCCTTTGTTACCCTCCTGTAAATCTTGTGCTGTCCTGTTGCAACATCATTCCATTTGCTGGGTAATATTTTACTGTAAGGAGGATACCATATGTATTTAATCCCTTTCATTGTTGGGCATTTGGATTATTTCCGGTTTTTCACTCTTTTGCAGATACAGAAGCAAGCCCCTTCAAAGATACATCTTCAAATGTTGTCTTAATTTTTTCCTAAGAATAAATTCTAGATGTGGAATTTCCAAAGAACCAGTTTTTATACATATTGCCCCAAAATGATACAGAAAGTATTAATATTTTCCCATAAAAATAACTGTTGCCTAATATCCTCTTCAGCAATTAGTTCTTTTAAATATTTGCCAATTTCCTAAGCCAGAAAGAGCATCTTATTTTTAAGCATCTTGTTCTAATTCTGTTTCTCTGATTACTAGTGAGGCTAACATGTTATCTACTCACTTGTTTTTTTTTAAAGTATTGTTCATTCATCTTGCCAATTTTTCTATCATTTGTTTTTGACTAGTGTATCCTGCAATACATTAATTATAGTAACCCTTTATCACATATGCAGAAAACATGTTTTCTCACTTTATCATTTGTCTTTCAGTCATTGTCTTGGTGATTTAAAAAGTTACTATGGAAAATTTTAAATGTGACACAAAGTTGGAGAAAATAGTGTGACAAACTTCCACATACCCATGAAAGCTTCTGTAGTTACCAACTCATGCCCAGTCTCCTTTCAAAAATAATGTTTGGTATTTTTTGAAATCAAAACCTTTGAATGCTAATATGGTTAATCTTCATTTTTTTCCCTCCACAATTTCTGCCTTTGATATATTTCAGATGTAGCCTTGGCCGCAGTCCTCATCCCTGTACTGGTCATGGTCCTCACCACTCTCATTCTCATATCGGTGTGTGCTTGGCATTGGAGAAACAGGTTAGTACGTAACTAGTTCACCTGATTGGTCCTAGAAGGGACGTTTCCACATGTGAAATAGAAACTAAATATAGAAGACCTACAGTTTATCTTTTTGAGAGGAAGAGTTAAGATAGTCATTAAAATAAAAATACATGTTTTTCCTTTACTGCCATAATAGATGAGTATGTTGTTATGCTGTCAGTTACCTTTATTGTATCAAATTCTGCAATGCACACTGGAATATACACATTAATAAAAACATAATAGGCATTTGGTAATACATACTGAAAGGATGAAACACAATTCATATCTCCAAGATGTTTAGCATTGACACAAAATAAGGAACTATAATAGAGTTTGTTGAGTTATTTATGAAGCATAAATGCAAAAACCATGAGAGTTATCTGAAATCTTTTCTTCAGGAAAAAATTATCCTCAAGATTGGCATGTTTTAAAAAGGAAGGAGTGGGATTTGGCTAGATGGTAGAAGGTGGAGAATGGCCCAGACTGAGGAAATTGCTTGAGCAAAGGCACAGAGATGTGAGATGTTGGCAGAATAGTGAGTCATCTAATGTGGGTTTGGCATGGGAGAGCACTGAGAATTAACTGGAGAAGTGCAGTCTAGGCCAGGATCAGGGAGAGAGAAATTTGAATTTTATTCTGTAGATGGGGAAATCATTAAAGAGTGTTAAGCACACAGGTGGCATTATCAGGTGATTGGAGAAAGGTAGTGGCAGAAGGTTTGAAGGGCAGATTGAAGAGGAGAGAGACCAGAAGAGGCAACAAGATGAATTAGGAAACTCCTAAGGCCGTGTAGGAACATAGCACAGCGATTCTAAGAAAGGGAGAGAAATGGATGGAGAGAGGTGTCCCAGTGGCATCAATGAGATGTATGACTAGCTCTCATGTCTAGGAAGTAGGAGGGATCTAGGATGATCTGAAGTTTCTGGCTTGTGCAGTTAGACCAGTAGAGATGTCTTGAGTTGAGGTAACAGCAGGAAGAATAGGTTTGGTGGAGCAAGAGAATGACTTCATTTGTTCATCCGTTCAACAAATATTTGAACTCCTACTCTGTGCCAAGTATTGGTGTGCTGGTGAATCCCAGAGAGAATGGGAGAGGATACAGTGCAGAAAACTGTCAGCCATGGTACCAACATGGATTCCAGTGGATTCCAGAGATTCTTGGTGTTGGGGAGGCTGTCTGAGTAGAGACCTAACAAGTTAACATGAGAGCAGTAAGGAAAGGAGGAGGGGAAAAGAGCTTTAGGAAAGTTCAGGGAAGAAAGTACAGGATGCTTCCAGAGTACTGGATAGCAACAATAGTAAGGATGAGAACAGCAGCAACAGCTGATTTTTACAGAAAATTAAATGCTGATTTTAGGTGTTACTCTAAATGCTTTTACATGTTTTAACTAATTTAATCCTTAACCTATGAAAAATGCACTGTTCTAAATCTCAAGTGAGACAACATAAATATTTAACTTACTTGAGGTCTCCTGGCTGGTACATGGCAGAGTGGCGTTTTGGAGCTGGCCGCAGACCCCATGCTCCTAACCACACTGCCTCTGAATGTATAGTCAGTCAGTACAGTCTAATCCACTATGGCTAAAGCACAGGGCATGGGGGTCAGGACTGGAGAGTAAAGTTGTTGAGAGGGAAGCAGGAAGCAACTTTGACTTCAATTTGTGATGGTGTGTAAGGAACCCTGTGACATTAAGACTCCCAAGAGGCAACTAAGATACATGTCTGTTCAGAACAAAAGGTCTGAGCTACAAAATTAAAGTTCCTTCTAAGTGTGGTAGTTGAAATCGCTAATGCCTGGCTTCATGACGAGGAGTAAAAGGAGAAGATGTCATTAAAGGGCTGTGGAAAACAGTGAGGAGAATAATAATAATAAAAAAATCTGCTACTTATTGAATCCTTAACCCATGCCAAGCACTGTGCTAATAAACCTTTGCATATAGTGAATAATCGAAGCTTTATCACTTGAGATTATAGGAAATCTTTGCTAATACAATCCTTGGTTAAAAATCATACCATTCAATTAATTGTCCTAGCCATATAGGGCATCTAGCTTCCATTTAGAAAATATTAATTTCCTTTTATTTCAAAGTCTTATGGTTAGAGGATTATCAAGGAGAAAAGTACTTAATTATTAAACCAGCATTTTATTATTTCTTTTACATTCCAGTTTTTTATTAACAGCTTCAGCACTTACCATCTCTTCCACAAATTTTTACTTTATACTTTTCTATGAAATAATGAAATATTATGTTTTAAATACAGCCAGACTGTATGTAGTATAGAATGAGAAGTTTTTTAATATCAATAATAGAAACATAGTCTCTTGGTGGTAGATAGTAATTCTTAATGGAGAGAAGGGAAATTTCTCCTGAGGAGGATATATCAGAATTCTGAGGGGTGGACTGGGGAGAATTTTCTTTGTTGTACACGTGGTTCTCACCTCCCGGGCCTGGAGAATCCTGTTTTTCTTCCCCCATCATTTGTCACTGTTAGTGGCAGAGTGGACTTATCCTGAGGTGTTTGGGGGGATTCAGTCTGTGCAATTCAGGGTGTGTGAAACTTGAAACTTCTCTGGGTTAAAGGACTGTGGGAGAAAAGCAGGAAGTTGGAAAAAATAAGCAATGTGGGGATTTTTGTTGCTATTGTTCTATGAACTTGGTGAATTGCTTGATTTGCGGAATTTGTATTTGAAATTAAATCAGACCTAACATGATTTCCCCATAGAAACCCACTTGTCAGGAATGGGTCTTTGATTTGATTCAGCCTTTTTATCTACAGACTGAGCCTTTTTTTATTCCATTCTTTCTTAGCAAGATAACTGTCTGAGGAGACAGTTTAATATTTCTTGAGAGTCCAAAATTTATGAGTTTCAACAAAGTCAAATGAAATAGAGGACTCCTCCAGGTAGATCAGCAAGTCAAATGTATACTCTTGACTAATTATTAACTTTGGTGTTTATCCTGCAGTATCAGAGCTGTCTTATTAGTGAATTCACTCTTATTTGCTAACTTTTTTTTTCTGTATTTTTCCAGAAAGAAAAAAACTGAAGGCACCTATGACTTACCTTACTGGGACCGGGCAGGTAACTCATGACTTTGCATCTCTTTCCATCAGC